GATCCCTCTCTTCGATCACTGAGCTACAGAAACACAGCTATAATGAAATAGTCCAGTGGAATGGAGCCTCTTGTTGGAGTCTACTGTATTTAGAATATAGAACTCTACAAAAATCCAAACATTTCATTATAAATGATCACTTGAGATATAAAAAGAGGTAAAGCCTGAAATACTTCCTGAATATTTTTCTTAGTGAAATATATTTTCATTAAAAATATATGCAATTATAAAACACTGATAAGATTGTTCTTACCAATAAATATTATAGCCATACCAGCACACCACTCTTATTTACAATGCTTTTAAGCAAATTAAATAATGCACACTAAGCAAAGCTGTCATTGAGTACATCAAACCACTGCAGTATATTACAAATGCATTCATAATATTCTAGCACAGAGTGAATATACTACATTTTCAGGGAAAATAAAGTACTGCATAGGAGCAAGTACTATACCACACATTCTTCTGACATTTTCACAGCACTGAATTTCTGCTATAACAACACTGACACAGTTGGTGTTTAAGAGTACTATACACAGTTACACTGTGAAGGTTTTCTAAATTTTCACTGAACAGGATGCTCAGATGTAACCCTTCCATTATGCTAAAAATCCTAAACATTTAGAATATTGGACAAGTACGTACAGGATATATCAGTACTGACAGACTGAAGGATCAAGATGTAACACACTTACCACATTTATTAGAGAAAAAGCCCCCCTAGTGGGTGAAATATTTCTTAATAAATGTTTTAAGTATTGCATACATCTCTTTTTCACACACTGAGGATACAGTTTGACAGATCAAGCCACTATTTAACACTTAAACTATGGCCTGTGGGGACCTCTCAACTCCTTACCCCATGGAGAGTACATATTTTTTGCATTATATAATAGCTAATGATAGATGTGAAATTGTTAATCCTGGCATACAAATCTACTTATCTTGAAAGTCAACTTTGGGTTTCTTCAGCTAAAAAATTCTAATTTAAGCCTATACCCACAATATGTCCACTCCAAAAATTAACAAACCAAATCAAATGTCACTACATACTCTCTAGATATTAATTTTTTCTTGTTGAGGCTTTTGTTTGAGACCATCTCTAAATATTTCTCATCTTGTTAATGATGATGATGACAGTAGACCAGTAGGTCTACTGCAGGCTTTTCCATTTTTGATAAAATCATGGATTAAGGAGCACTACAGTAAAGCTAAGGCCAATGCTAGATCCATCCTTCTCATTCATATGCTTGTCTAACCTTTTTTTAAAGCCACTCGAGATGTTAGCTTTCACACTACATGGCAGACTGCTCCCCTCAACCATAAATCTTGCAAACCAATATTTTTTCTATATCCTTTCTAAATGTGCATATTCCAACTTCTATCTATCCATTGTTTTGAGTTCCTTCAAGGTTTATTGTTTAACTTTGATTAAAATAACAATAAAAGATGATGATAATGACTTCCATCTTGCTTACAGATCCTCAGTACCTTATTTCTTCTTTATATGTATCTTCAACCTGAATACCCCTACAAACTTTGGTAATACTTCCTTTACCACTCCTCACAGCCCTTTCTAACTCTACCTATGTTATCCTCTCCACCCCTGGCTCCTCTCTGCTCCAGGAATATCCCCCTACCCTGCAGTACTGTACAACCCTAGTGGGTCATACAGCCCTGAAGGGTTCTGATTATAATAATACTTGCATACCCAATTCAAAGAACTTGTGTAGCTTTAAAAATAGGTTACATGAGTGGGTGTGACTTGGAACTACCTAGTATGGGCCAGTAGACCTGCTGTAGTGCTTCTTTTTCATATATATGAATGGTATACAGTACTGACAAGATGAAAATTAGACATGTGCAACATCTGGGTATCTTTATTGTAAAGATACCCAGATGTTGCACATGTACAGTGGCCCTTCGGGTATCGGCCGCTTTTTTGGCCGAAATTCTATCCCGGTTTTCAGCAGTCATTTCGGAGACTGGCCATATTGGATGCATAATAACAATAATAATAATCGCTCTTGAACACATTAAATATCTTATTTTAGGTTAAAACAAACATTTTCATTAATCTACTTATGATATTTTCTTCAAAATTATATAAGAAACACATTACATAGCATATAGCATATAAACATGCAATGTTTACATGCTATCGAGTGGCGAGTACCGGCGAATCAAGGAGGAAGGTAAATATTACATATTCTCCGATTCAGCATTAGAGAAAACTGAATCTGGTGTCTGGTCCAGTCACCGCCCTTGAAAAAGCTTTTGTTTACAATTCTCAGCATGAATTATTCATTACTTCTCCCTTTGTTTATGATGGCATCTACTTCTCCCCTTGTTTATGATGGCATCTACTTCTCCCTTTGTTTATGATGGTAAAGGTACATCGACATGGTATGTCGATGTAATAATATGGCTGTGTAGTGTAGCCCGGGGAAAGGGGGTGCTACCTACATCTACTGGCTACCTACAAATAAGTATTACTCACCTCTCACCCTACATTAAGACTACAAATATTTTAAGGTAATGAATGTACTGTGGCAGTATCAAAGCCCTAGATAGGGCTTTGATATCTGAAGTCCTTATGGAGGGGGATTCCCAACTCCCTCTCCCCTCCTTGCCTTCAATACGCCAACAAGTGTCTTCAATAAAAGTACATAATGTTCATTTACTGTTAAAATTTGTGCTTTATATTTATTTCTCACTGTTTTGTAGTGTTAGAGTGTTCAGCAGAAGTTTGTGGTTACAGGAGGGAAGAGGAGCGATTGGTGGAATGATGATGTAAAGAGAGTAGTAAGGGAGAAAAAGTTAGCATATGAGAAGTTTTTACAAAGTAGAAGTGATGCAAGGAGGGAAGAGTATATGGAGAAAAAGAGAGAGGTTAAGAGAGTGGTGAAGCAATGTAAAAAGAGAGCAAATGAGAGAGTGGGTGAGATGTTATCAACAAATTTTGTTGAAAATAAGAAAAGTTTTGGAGTGAGATTAACAAGTTAAGGAAGCCTAGAGAACAAATGGATTTGTCAGTTAAAAAATAGGAGAGGAGAGTTATTAAATGGAGAGTTAGAGGTATTGGGAAGATGGAGGGAATATTTTGAGGAATTGTTAAATGTTGATGAAGATAGGGAAGCTGTGATTTCGTGTATAGGGCAAGGAGGAATAACATCTTGTAGGAGTGAGGAAGAGCCAGTTGTGAGTGTGGGGGAAGGTTCGTGAGGCAGTAGGTAAAATGAAAGGGGGAAAGGCAGCCGGGATTGATGGATAAAGATAGAAATGTTTAAAAAGCAGGTGGGGATATAGTTTTGGAGTGGTTGGTGCAATTATTTAATAAATGTATGGAAGAGGGTAAGGTACTAGGGATTGGCAGAGAGCATGCATAGTTCCTTTGTATAAAGGCAAAGGGGACAAAGAGAGTGCAAAAATTATAGGGGGATAAGTCTGTTGAGTATACCTGGTAAAGTGTATGGTAGAGTTATTATTGAAAGAATTAAAGTAAGACGGAGAATAGGATAGCAGATGAACACGGAGGCTTTAGGAAAGGTAGGGGGTGTGTGGACCAGGTGTTTACAGTGAAACATATAAGTGAACAGTATTTAGATAAGGCTAAAAAGGTCTTTGTGGCATTTATGGATTTGGGAAAAAAGGGTTTATGACAGGGTGGATAGGGGGGCAATGGGGGCAGTTTGTTGGGGGGTATGGTGTAGGTTACTAAAAAGCAGTGAAGGGGTTTTTAAAAGGGAATAGTGGGGTTTAAGGGTTGGGATTTATTTAAAAGGAAAAAGAGGGAAATTTTTTCCCCGGGTAAAAGTGGGCCCTTTAGAAAAAGGGGGTGTGATGTCCCCGTGGTTGTTTTTTTTTAAAATTTATAGATGGGGTTGAAGGAAGAAAATCCCCGGGGTCTTGACAAGAGGCATGGATTTAAAAAAGATAAAGAATCACACAAAGTGGGAGTTGTCACAGTTGCTTTTGCTGATGCCCACTGTGCTTTTGGGGGGATTTGAAGGGGAAGTTGAAGGGTGGATGTTTTTGGTAGGGGGGTGCAAGAAAAGAAAATTAAAAGGGGAAATACAGGAAAGAGAAAGGGGTTATGAGGATAAAAAAAAATATTAGGTGTTTGAAAGTTTGGGGAAAATCAGTTGGGGGGAAAAGGAGTATGGAGGAGGTGAATGTTTTTCAGATTTTTTGGGGTGGACGTGTCAGCGAATGGGTCTATGAAGGGATAAAGGTAAATCTTAAAAATTGATGGGGGGGGGAAAAAGGGTGAGTGGTGCACTTAGGAGTCTTTTGGGGGACAAAAAACCCTTTGTCCTTGGGGGGCCCAAAGAGGGGAATGTAGGAGGAGTATAGTTTTCCAACACTTTGTATGGTGGGGAAGGGCATGGGTGTTGAATGTTGCAGTGGGGGGAAAAGGCTGGGGGCATTGGAGTGTCATGTCTGACAATGTGTGGTGTGAATATAATGCAGGAATTCTTTAGTTGAAGTTGGAGGAGGTGCAGGATTACCAAAAAAAATGTTTTCCAGGGGGGGTGAGGAAGGGTTGTTGGGGGTGGTTCGGGAAAAGAGAGAGAATGGGGGCGAAAAAAGAATGCTTCAAGAGTGTATCCGTTTTGTTTGTGGAAGGAAAGGGGGGGTAAAGGGGTCGGCCCAGGAAAGGTTGGAGGGGGGGGTTTAAAAGGGGGTTTTGTTGTGCGAGGGGGGTTGGACTTCCCGCAGGTGGCGTGAGCTGTTTTGAAGGAAGTGAATGGAGACAAAAGGTTTTTAATACTTGGGCGTGCTGTTGGAGTGTGAGCAAAGTAACTTTTTTTTGATGGGGTTAGGGAAAAAAAGCAGGGCCCGGGGTTTAGTCCCGGAGATGGGGGGTACAGTGCCTGCACTCTGAAGGAGGGGGGTTAAAAGTTGCAGTTTAAAAAAAATATAGTGTAAAACAAACCCCTTTGGGAAGACAGTGGATGGGGGAAGGGGGGAAAGTGGTGAAAGTTTTTCTTTTTCGGGCCACCCTGCCTTGGTGGGAATCGGCCAGTGTGATAAAAAAAAAAAAAAAAAAAAAAAAACTATATTCTATATAAAACATTTTTTGTTAATACTTTTGGGTGTCTGAAACAGATTAATTAGATTTACATTATTTCTCATGCGAAATATTATTTTGGTTTTCAGCCTTTACGGATTTAGGCTGACTTTCTGGAACAGGTTACGGCTGATAACCGAGGGTCCACTGTATCTAATTTTCATCGTTTTTATGTTCTTAAAATATTAATTTATGCTCTTACCACAACTGTATAGTCACTGCAGTGGAAAATGGTATGGTGGTAATGCAATTACTTGGGATACAATTACCAATCTTATTGTAGCCTTCACAGTCCAGTGTAAAGCAGTGTTAGCCCATTTGCTGCACAAGTCCTAAAGATATTCATCCAATACAAATTACATGACAGAACTGCTTAAATTAAGCCCATGGTCAACTTTTTTTGTCTAAATAGGCCTGGTCGTGGACCGGGCCGTGGGGGCGTTGATCCCCGGAATAACCTCTAGTGCCCCCACATTGCCACAGATCCTCATGTTGAACAGTACATAGGTTAATTCATCTTCCCTACACATGAAGAAAATCGGAAGGCAATAATTTGCCATTTTTAGAAAGCATCTGTTAAGGAATATATGTACTGAGAAATACTTTTGAACCAATAATAATATATTTTTTTATCATGGTAGCCCTTAGAAAAATGTAAATGATAAATACTTCTTAACTTATAATAGTTCACTATTATCATGGTAACCACTAGAATAACAATAAAAGATAAATACTTTTGGATCTATAACAGTGCACCATATTCATCACTGTAACCCCCAAAAAATGATAAATAATTGTTTGGACCTATAATAGTGCACTAATTCCACATCCAAAATGCATTATGACTGCCATGAATTGCACACTAATTTCAAAGTAATTTCTCCGATATCATACCTAAGAATAACAACACTATCAAAGCAGAATGAATAACACCATAAACTAGTAAACATTATCTTATTCACAACAAAATTTGAATCTACCAAGAAATTGAGAAGTGTCCACTGCTAGTATATAAGGTACAACTAGGGTACTAGCGGTACTTCAGTCTCCGTTCCATTTTGCGCTGTTTCTTGTCAGCTACCCGTTGCTCCGACTCCTCAGGAGCTTCCTGGAAGAACCACGGGCCCAAAATATTGCTCCAAAGCATCTGTGCTCCCCGGCATGGAGCCTGAAATTTAAATAAATTACAGAATAATAGGAATTTTCCTGAATAAAAAAGAAAAAAGTAAATGTCTAAACAGTAATTCTGAAGGAAATCTGGAATTTGGAAGAGTGAGAATGTTACAATTTGGAAGGTTTTATGAACTGTGATGTTAGCATCCTTCTGGTAAGACTGAATACTCGCCTATTTGTGGTTGAAGGGGTCGAGTCATAGCTCCTGGCCCTGTCTCTTCACTGATTGCTACTGGGTCTCCTCTCTGCTCCATGAGCTTTATCAAACCTCATCTTAAAACTATGCATGGTTCCTGCCTCCTATTCCACTTCCTGACAACTCTATGACTGAAGAAATACTTCCTAACATCCCTTTGACTTATAGGATTTTCAACTTCCAATTGTGACTCCCTGTTTTTGTGTCCCATCTCTGGAACATCCTGTCTTTGTCCACCTTGTCAATTCCTCGCAGTATTTTACATGTTATCATGTCTCCCCTGACCCTCCTGTCCTCCAGTGTTGTCAGGCCGATTTCCCTTAACCTTTCTTCATAGGACAGTCCCCTTAGCTCTGGAACTAGTCTTGTTGCAAACCTTTGCACTTTCTCTAATTTCTTGATGTGCTTGACCAGGTGTGGATTCCAAACTGGTGCTGCATACCCCAGTATGGGCCTGACATATATGGTGTACAGAGTCTTGAAGGATTCCTTACTGAGGTATCGAAACACTATTCTTAGGTTTGCCAGACACCCATATGCTGCAGCAATTATCTGACTGATGTGCACCTCAGGAGATGTGCTCAGTATTATACTCATCCCAAGATCTTTTTCCCCGAGTAAGGTTTGCAGTCTTTGACCACCTAGACTATAATGTCTGCGGTCTTTTGTCCTTCCCTGATCTTCATGACTTTGCATTTGGGGGGGTTAAATTCAAGGAGCCAGTTGGTGGACCAGGCTTGTAGCCTGTCCAGGTCTCTTTGTAGTCCTGCCTGATCCTCAACTTCACATCATCTGCAAACAGGGACACTTCTGAGTCTATCCCTTCCACTATGTCATTCACACATACCAAACACAGCACAGATCCTAGGACTAACCCCTGTGGAACCCCACTTGTCACAGGCGCCCACTGACACCTCGTCATGTACCATTATTCGTTGTTGCCTCCCTGTCAGATATTCTCTGATCCATTGCAGTGCCTTTCTTGTTATGCACGCCTGATCCTCTAGCTTTTGCATTAAGCTCGTGTGAGGAACTGTGTCGAAGGGCCTTCTTGCAGTCCAAGAAAATGCAGTCTATCCACTCCCCTCTCTCTTGTGTCTTATTTCTGTTACCTTGTCATAAAACTCCAGTAGGTTTGTGACACAGGATTTTCCTTCCCTGAAACCATGCTGGTCGTCATTTATAAGCTTGTGTCTTTCTAGGTACTCCACCACTCTCCTCCTGATGATCTTCTCCATGACTTTGTATACTATACACATCAGTGGCACAGGTCTGCAGTTTAAGGCCTCATGTCTGTTTCCTTTCTTAAAAATTGAAACTACATTTCTCATCTTCCATACCTCAAATAATTGCCCAGTTTCAATGGATGTGTTGAAGATTTTGGTTAGTGGCACATTCAGCATCTCTGCTGCTCCTCTAATGACCCACAATGAGATGTTGTCTGGTCCCACCGCCTTTGAGGCATCAAGTTCACATAGCAGTTTCTTCACCACCTCCTCGGTTGTGTGAATTTCATCCAGCATTTGTTGGTGTACCTCCCTATTTTGAATTCCTGGAGTCCTTCCTGTTTCCACTGTAAATACTTCTTTAAATCTCACGTTGAGCTCTTCACATATCTCTTGGTCGTTTCTTGTTCCTTCTTGTTCTTGTTCCTTCCTTCTTCAGCCTGATTACCTGGTCCTTGACTGTTGTTTTCGTCCTTATGTGGCTATACGGCAGCTTCGGGTCAGACTTGACTTTTGATGCTATGTCATTTTCGTATTGTCACTGAGCCTCCCTTTTATCTGTGCAAATTCGTTTCTGGGTCTTTGGCTAATCTCTCTATTTTCCTGAATCCTTTGTCTTCTGTACCTTTTCCAGTCTCTAATGCACTTAGTTTTTGCCTCCCTACACCTTTGGGTGAAACAAGGACTCATTCTGGTCTTCCCATTATTTCTGTTACCCTTGGGAAACAAACCTCTCTTCTGCCTCCTTGCATTCTGTCACAGTCCATTTGTTTTACTGGTTTTCCTGCCAATTCTCTCTCCCACTGAAGGTCTTGCAGGAAGTTCCTCATGCCTGTGTAGTCCTCCCTTTTGTAGTTTGGTTTTTCCCATCCTATTCCTGCTACCCTCTCCACTTGTAGCTCAACTATGTAATTGAAGCACAGAACCACATGATCATTAGCTCCAAGGAGCCTTTCGTATGTGATATCCTCGATGTCTGAACTACTCAAGGTGAATACTATATCCAATCTTGCTGGGTCATCCTCACCTCTCTCTCTGGTAGTCTCTCTAACATGCTGATACATGAGGTTTTCCAGTACCACATCCATCATCTTGGCTCTCCATGTTTCAGGACCCCCACATGGGGCTCCAGGTTTTCCCAATCTTGTGATTGAAATCATCCATAACTAGTAACTTTTCTCTCTCCATGTGAGCCCTTCTTGCCATCTCAGCTAGTGTGTCTACCATTGCTCTGTTTCTCTCATCATATTCTTCTCTTGGCCTCCTGCAGTTCTGTGGCAGGTTGTGCATTATTGCAATTACCACCTTATGGCCCTCAGACTGGATTGTTCCTACTATGTAGTCCCTTCTGCCCATTCCATCCATTCCTTCCATTTCCTCAAATCCCCACTGATTTTTAATGAGCAGTGCAACTCCTCCTCCCTCTTTCCTCAGGATTTGATAACCAAGTGGAAAGATCGCATCTGTTAACTTCCTGGCGAGTTATGCTTCTACGAGTGCTATTACATCTGGGGATGTCTCCTTGATTCTTTCATGCCACTCATTACATATATTTGTTATTCCGTCTGCATCTGTATACCAAACCTTCAACTTCTTTTCTAAAACTGTGGTCTAGGGGGTACGTTGGGGTTGGGGAAGCGGGAGACCTGATGAGGAACTATCGGTGGTTGCTGTGGAGGTGGAATTTGTAATGAGGTGGGTGGGGGTATTGGGCATGGCATGTGTGTTTTGGGCTAAAATGTTTGGTTGCATTGGGGTTGTCCTGGTTGGGGGGTTTCTGTAGGGAGGCTGTATTTGATTTTCCTCCTGAGTCTGAGTTTTCTCCTGTCCATCTCCATCTTCCCTCCTTTCGGCTTTGTACCCTCTCTTGCAGTTCTTGCCTTTCTTCTCGTGTTCTGTCGCGGTCGAGAGACACCCTCCAGTACGCCAAGATGTCCCTTCGTCTTGCTTTCTCCTGCAGGATCCTGTTTCGAGTTACTTCTGCCTTGAAAATCACTTTCACTGGCCAGTGTCTTCCTTTTGCAAACCTCACTATTCTCAGAAAATTTGCCAGCTGGGTCATGTCATCATCATCTATTGCTTTCATGATGCTTTCAATTGCTTTTTTCTCCCTTGTCTTGCTTTGTAAGTTTCTCCTTCAACTTCCTGGAGCCCATAAACAAATACTGATCACTCCCTTTCATTCTCCCACTGCATATCCCTATGTATCCCTTGCTTCAATTTAGTTGCTGCCATTGCAGCTTTCCTTTCTTCAATCTCTTCACTGTCTGTTGTTCCTGGGCCCAGTGGTCTGTCATTTTTCCCGTCTTGGCTTTCCCTGGGCACTGCTGTGATCTGTTAGGGCCTCTACATATAGCTTAGCTCTTTCATTTCATGAGTGATGGTGAATGTGTTTCCTCTTCTTTAGGTCACCTTACTTCAGTGGGAGATAGCCAGAGCATAAAAAAAAAAAAAACAGCCTATTATTAACTAATCACTTGCATGAAGTGAATGGGGAAAGTATTAGTCTAAAAAAGAAATAACTGTGGGAAGTTTTTAAAGTTCTTTTATCCTTGCAGATCAGCCTGATGTCAGACTTTCTTGTTGATGCCTGGTCAACCAGGCTGTTGCTTCTAGCAATCACCAGGCATACTTGGCCATCATAACCTAGCTGATCGGATGTTTTAATCAGTTAGTGGTTCAGTTTCCTTTTAAAGAAATTCTACCCTGTTGGTAGAAAATTGTGCAGGACTGTATGATGCTAGTGGGTTTAGTGCTTGGTTTCGATTATAATAATAATGGTAGAAAATTGAAGAGTTTTGTAACACAGTGTTCTGTAATTGTGCATATGGTAGCCCTACTTTTCACTTTGTTTATTCTTCACTTTTTGCTGCATTTTTAACTCTGTAGTGTACAGATTGAGGACCTAATCTGACCGAGTATTTTCCATATACATTATTAGCCCAGTACAGATCTCTAATCTATCCTTAATCATGGTATGATCATGGGAATCTCAACTAAAACATAAGAACTGGGGGGGGGGGGGGATATGCTATCGCTATCAGATTCCAGACAACACACACACACTTTTCTAAAGTTGAAGTTTACTCAGCATACAAAATATCCAGATGTAGTACTGAATATACTATACAGACATACAATGCTGTATGACCCTTGTGGGTTTAGCACTTGGTTTGATTATAATAATACAAAGGTTAGTTAATGCAGAGGTTAGTGGACAAGTTTGGGAGGGTGTGTAAAGGTAGAAAGCTAAGTGAATATAGATAAGAGTAAGGTGATGAGGGTATCAAACAATTTAGATACAGAAAAATTGGATATCACACTGGAGTACGGAAGAAGGGAATATGTTCAGATATTTGGGAGTTGACTTGTCAGCAGATGGGTTTATGAAGGATGAGGTTAACCACAGAACTGATGAAGGAAAAAGGACAAGTGGTGCGTTGAGGTATCTGTGGAGACAATAAAAAAAAAAAAAAAACGTTATCTATGGAGGCAAAGAAGGGTATGTACAAGAGTACAGTGGTACCAACACTCTTATAATGGGTGTGAATGGGTTGTAAATGCTGCAGCAAGGAGAAAGCTGGAGGCAGTGGAGATGTCGTGTCTAAGGGCAATGTGTAGTGTGTTATGCAGAGAATTCGTAGTGTGGAAATTAGGTGGTGTGGAGTTACTAAAAGTATTAGTAAGAGCTGAAGAGGGGTTGTTGAGGTGGTTTGGTCATTCAGAGAGAATGGAACAAAGTAGAATGACTTGGAGAGTGTATAAATCTGTTGAGGAAGGAAGGCAGGATAGGGATTGTCCTCGAAAAGGTTGGAGGGAGGGGGTAAAAGTTTTGTGGGCGAGGGGCTTGGACTTCCAGCAAGCATGCATGAGCATGTTAGATAGGAGTGAATGGAGGCGAATGGCTTTTGGGACCTGACGAGCTATTGGAGTGTGAGCAGGGTAATATTTTGTGAAGGGATTCAGGGAAACCGGTTAGCCGGACTCGAGTCCTGGAAGTGGGAAGTACAATCCCTGCACTTTAAAGGAGGCGTTTGGAATACTGACAGTTTGGAGGGACATCTAAACTATCGTATCTGAGCGCCTCTGCAAAGACTGATTATATACCAGTGATGGTGAAAGTGTTGAATGATGAAAGTTTTCTCTCTCTTTTGGGGGTTTGCTTTCTTTTTGGGTTACCCTGCCTCAGTGGGAAACAGCTGAAGTGTTAAAATAATAATAATACAAACATACAGGACAATCAATACAAATTTTAACTCAGTGCTAAAACTCTTCTTGGAAAGCTGCAACAGTACAGACAATACAGAAAATAAACATCTTTCAATATTCCGTGTTATCAACACGAGGAGAAACTCCATGCAAATAAAAAGCCTAAAAATATGATTTTAAAATTTTCCCATCTGTCAACTGCTTCAAAAAAAAAATTTTTAAGACCTGAATTTAATGTAAATTTACATAGATCAAAAATAAATCTGCTTTTCTTTAGCAATATACCAGCTGTCTCCCACAGAGGCAGTGACACAAAAAATGGAGAAAACTACAAAGTTTACCCTCATTTTACATCTAGTAATTAAATCTAATGCAACCTGCTTATCCAGATTACAATCAGCATTCATATTAACTATCACCATATTATCTTACCAGAAGCCATAAAAGCCAGAAGTAAGTCGAGATAGTGCCCAGGACAACAGTACCAGAGGTCAGAATCACCAAGTCCTTAACGTGTCTGTGGAGAGAATGTCACATAAGATAAAGACTAGTGACAGTAATGAGGCAAAAATTAGAGCCACTGCATACAACATAGGTATAAGTATGACTCACCTTGACACAATGACTTAATTAAATGATTAATTTATCAATAATAATAATTAAAAAATAAATTAATACCATAATAAAAATAAGAGCCAGACTAAAGCCCTGGAGGTGAGAAGGGAAGTACCTGCACCCTGACTCAGTAAGAGAAAGCTGTTGTGTTTAAAAAAAAAAAAATGCAAAGTACTGAATAACTAGCAACGGAACTCATTCCTTGGAGTAGCTTAAATTCAGGTGAAATTCCGGATGACTTAAAAAAGGTAAACACAGCCACACTTCACAAAGGAGGCAGCAAAGCATCCTTACATTTATAGCACACAATACCAACATATTTATGAATGCCACACACGTGCAACACCTGGGTATCATTATTAAAACGATGTTTCACCAATTAGTGGTTTTGACAATTTAATACATAGATGCTTTAGAGAGCTCCATAGAGAAGAGAAAAAGAAGCCTTCCTCTGTTAGCCATGTGTGTCATAAGATGCAATGAAAATGCCAGGAGCAAGGGGCTAGTTTTTTTTTTTTTTTTTTTTTTTTTTTTTTTTTTTCAACAAGTCGGTCGTCTCCCACCGAGGCAGGGTGACCCAAAAAAAAAGAAAGAAAATACTTTCATCATCATTCAACACTTTCACCACACTCACACATTATCACTGCTTTTGCAGAGGTGCTCAGAATATAACAGTTTAGAAGCATATACGTATAGAGATACACAACATATCCCTCCAAACTGCCAATATCCCAAACCCCTCCTTTAAAGTGCAGGCATTGTACTTCCCATTTCCAAGACTCAAGTCCGACTATATGAAAATAACCGGTTTCCCTGAATCCCTTCACTAAATATTACCCTGCTCACACTCCAACAGATCGTCAGGTCCCAAGTATCATTCGTCTCCATTCACTCCTATCTAACACGCTCATGCACGCTTGCTGGAAGTCCAAGCCCCTCACCCACAAAACCTCCTTTACCCCCTCTTTCCAACCCTTTCGAGGACGACCCCTACCCCTCTTTCCTTCCCCTATAGATTTATATGCTTTCCATGTCATTCTACTTTGATCCATTCTCTCTAAATGACCAAACCACCTCAACAACCCCTCTTCTGCCCTCTGACTAGTAACCCCATCAATTACTATATGTATAAAGAAAAAAAATTTTTTCGGTTGCCCTGCCATGGTGGGAGATAGACAGTGTGCTCAAAAAATGGTTTCAGAGACAGTGGAAGATGAGGTAATCAGTCCCCAGCCTTGATAGGTGTTCAGTCCATTCAGAACATCTTTGAATTGAAATGAAAAAGCCATTGGCTGGCAAAACATCTTTATAATAAAGATACCTAGGTGTTGCATATATCTTATTCAGCAGTAAGCCACGTGAAAAAACTATGAACCAATGATGTGCCAGTTGGCAGGAAAGTACAGTACATATTATGAAACTTGCCCTTGTTATTAACCCCATACCAGAGCATCTGCTAAACAATGACAAAAGCTACCTGTATTTATTTCCACAGCATCTGCTATAAACAAACTGAATGCATATCTTATTTCACTCCTATAGCATTGTCATCATATTCATTGTAAAGCATTAAACCTATATAGGTCATACAATTCCTAAAGAAGGGAAGGTAATCAGGTTTCATGCAAAGAAGGGCAGAGTAGCTGGAATGGATGGAATCATGAGCCCTTCAATATCAAGGTATCAGCTATAGAGGATGAATGAGACACTTGTGCAATGCTTGGCCATCTTTATTGTGGAAACATCATGGCAACCAGTGGCTTCAACCATTATTCTCTGTACTGAGGAAGCTACTGGCTGGAAAAACATTTCCACAAAGACACCCAGATGTTGCATAAGTGTAATTCATCATCCTGTCGGTTCTCTGAACCATTTATCTATGTATCCGCTACAGAGGATCCCTATTGAACATATCTTTACAGTCATATATGAATCACTGTACAATACACACAAGAATATGTTTTACCATATCATCCATCTAAAATATATTATATTAGATACTATATCAGGCTTATGAAAAGTCTTTCAGACATTCAGAACAGTGAAATGATTTCTCTCCACTTAAAACATAAAATGCCACTTACTCAGCTATTCCTCCTTCAATGTTCAAGTCACATCCTTCATCCAGAATAGAGCCATCAGCAGCCAGCTTAGGCTGAGCCATGCTGGCCATGAAGCGGTAACAACAGGTGAACACAACTCCCGCAAAGAACAACAATGTCTGGGGAAAGCGACAGCTTAGTTAAAAATGCAGTATTATTGGTAAATTTTAATAAAAAATAGATTGGAAACAAAAGCTAGAGTCAAGGATTCTTATAAGTAGTCCAGTCAAAATTAGAATACACAGGTGTCCCTCATTTCACATGATAGACGTGTTCTGGGCTCAGATCATAAAGCAAACCTAATTTAACTAGGAATTAAAAGGCATGACTGGAACAATGAACAAATAACCCGTACATAGGAGACATGATATTTTGGTTCAATTTTTGACCATTAACTAGTAGTTTGACTAGTTAACGGTCCAAGTCAGACTGAAATGTCATCATTAGTTTCACTCTATATATATGCAGGTTACTTGTGTAGTGTCAGTAACATGTAAAATATAGGGATACTTTCTAAGAGATCATAAATTCTATAGATAAATGGTTCAGAGATCCAAAAAGTTGATAAAGACACATGTGCAACACTTGGGTATGTTTATTGAGGAAATGTTTTGCCACACAGTGGCTTCACCAGTCCATCCAAAGGAGAAAGGTGAAGAACAGGAGGAGTTTGAGGTAATCAGTCCCTCAGCCTGGAGTTGATGTAATCAGTCCATCAATCTTGAAAAGAATGCAGCATGTGTGTGAAGAAGTCGCTTATAACTGTAGACAGGTGAGGTGAAGCAGTCGTAGGTGGTATCACACCTGACAAATCCAAATGTTGAAGTAGGTCATGCCTAAAGGTTAGGCAAGTGAAGAATGCAATCTAAGTGTTGCACACGTGTCTAATTTATCAACTTGTCAGTTCTCTGAACCATTTATCTACATTCCTGCCAGACACAGCAGCATCTTGGGATCTTAATACAGGGAATTCTTCACTTGCCTAACCTTTAGGCATGACCTACTTCCACATTTGGATTTGTCAGGTGTGATATCACCTACAACTGCTTCACCTCACCTGTCTACAGTATATAAGCAACTTCTTCACACACATGCTGCATTCTTTTCAAGACTGATGGGCTGATTACATCGACTCAAGGCTGAGGGACTGATTACCTCAAACTCCTCCTGTTCTTCACCTTTCTCCTTTGGATGGACTGGTAAAGCCACTGTGTGGCATAACATTTCCTCAATATAGATATCCAAGTGTTGCACATGTGTCTAATTTATCAATTACAAATTCTACATTTTTTGACTTGTGTTTTCCCAAAAAAAAAAAAAAAAAAAAACCATGAGCTTACCACACATGCACCAGACATACACAAATAAAAAATAAATTTGGTAAAAAACCAAATGAGAAAATTAATCCAAAACCCATTCAATATGCTTACACAGTTAAAACAGAGCCAGAACTGGAAAAAAATTTTATATTTACTAATTTTTACCAAAAAAAAAATACAAGCCTATCACATATGATATCCATAAACTATACCATAATTAAATACACTTGGAAAAAAAATGAGAAAATTTTTATTTAACCCTTTGAGGGTTTCGGCCATACTAGTACGGCTTACGATCCAGGGTTTTTGACGTACTAGTACGCCTAAATTCTAGCGCCCTCAAATCTGGTGAGAGAAAGCTGGTAGGCCTACATATGAAAGAATGGGTCTATGTGGTCAGTGTGCGCAGTATAAAAAAAAAAATCCTGCAGCACACAGTGCGTAATGAGAAAAAAAAACTTGGACCGTGTTTTTGGAATAAAACAGCGACTTTGCACTGTATTTTCGTATGGTATTTATTGTTATATTCTACTTTTCTTGGTCTCATTTTATAGAATGGAAGACATATTACAAAAATTGAGATGATTTTGACTGGTTTTACAATGAAAAGTACCTTGAAATTGAGCACAAAGTAGCAGAAATGTTCGATTTTTATCAAAGTTCAAAAGTAAACAAATCATGCCAAGCGTCCAATACAAGTCAACTGGTGAGTCTAATATTCTTTCACAAGTACGCTGATATTATTTATACCATTTCTACACTAATGCAGCAGTCTGCATAACAGTAAATCTTCTATTTTTTATAATAATAAAAATTCAAAGTGGAAAGCCGAAGAAATATAAGAGGGGCCTGGGGATGTGACTAACGAACAGAGAACTTGTTATTTTAGTGCCAGGAATGTCTTTCTTGTTTATTCTGGACCCTATTCAGAAATTGGCATCTTTTGAAATTTGTGTGAAATTGGCAAAATTGCTAAATTCTGACCACTTTATTGGATAGTTGAAATTAGTAAATGGGTGGTTTTTTGTACTCATTCGATAGAAAAAATGGACTTCTAGCAAAATAGCTATCATTTCTGTCAACTAGTACATTGGAATTGGCCGAAAATAGGGCTCAAAGTGGGTAAAATCGCCGATGCGTAAACATCGAGACCGCTAACTTTGCAAGAGCATAATTCCCTAAGTTTTCCATCAAATTTCATACTTTTGGTGTCATTATGACCGGGAAAAGATTCTCTATATTTTCGTAAGAAAAATTAATTTTTTTTTTTTTTTGAAATTTGGCCGACCCTGAGAACAAGTTTCGGAGAGGGCCTGTTGACCCTCAAAGGGTTAAAATCCAATCATAATCCTCCTCCCTTTTACACTCCCTCCACCAGCAACCACCTTTGACGAGTTTCAAGTCTCTACTCCCAAAGTCCGGCCATAGGCCAGGCTCAACTGGTGATAGCCTGGTCAACCAGGCTGCTGGTGGCCTGTAGCCCTGTCTCTGGATAGAAGCTCACAAATTATAAACCTTTTAATACTGTACATATCTGCCTATTATAATATAAATTTGCAAGAACAAAGGAGTACATACGGTGGAACCCCAGTTACAGGCCATCGCAGAAATCAACAGATTTGGAAATAAAGCACTTTTATCGGCGAAATTTTGCTCCGGATATCGGCTATGCTCTCGGAAATTGGCCATATGAGACACATCACCACCGACTAGTGATGCTCTCCCTTACCCGTACCACACTCAGTCTGCGTCTCTCTCATGTTGGATTAGGAATACTTTGCGGCTTCATCCATTGTTTCTGATTTTTTTTGTTGATTGCAACTGTGAAATAAGCCATTATGGGGCCAAAGAAAGTTCAGAGTGCCAGCCCTTTGGTAAAGAAGGCGAGAAACATTATAGAATTCAAGAAAGAACTCGTAATAAGCAATATAAACAACAGAAATACTACAATGGAAAGCCACTCTGTCTGACTTTATTGGGTTATCCTAGATTCTCTACACACATACTGCTATGTATGAAAATCTCTAACTGCTATGTATGATGATCTATATAACTATGTGGGCAAACCTAAATAAACTTACTTACAGAAACATGATATATATACATGTACTCTAGAATGAATAAAATGTCATTATATGACGAGTGTTTACGACCAGTAGCAACAAAATAATTACCACTCAGAACACGTCTTTCCATTTTTGCCCAGAGGTCCTGGGATAAGAGAAAACGGAATGTTTGTGAGGCTACCCACATTAGATCACTAGTTTCATACAGGAAGACTGAAAAAAAAAAAAAAAAAAGCAATTTATTCAGTGATTAAGGGCACGTGTGCAAAGTGGAGTGAGCTGCAAAGTTTTGCTGAGAATTATCACCCTAACAAAGCTGTTGCAAGCCGTGTTTGCAACATGTTCAGTGACAAAACCTTGTCCCACTTCAGGTAAATCTTAGAGATGCCAGAAACAGGCCTCTTTGGACAGATTTTTTGTGACAGGGGTACAGTGACTCTCAAGCTGGTCCTAGTGCCAGTAAAAGACAAAGGGAAGTAACCCCAGAAAGGGCTTTGATACCTGAAGTCCTTATGGAGGGGGAGTCTCCTTCCAAACAATAATCAGTCCTTCCTTTCTCCTCCTCGCCTTCTTCCATATGCCAACAAGAGTCTTCAATAAAGGTATGTAATGTTCATTTATTATTAAACTTACTGCTGTATTTATTTCTTATTGTTTTGAATATGTAAGACTATAATTAATCTTTAAAAAATGTATTTTTTGTTAATATTTTTGGGTGTCTGGAATGGATTAACTGTATTTACATTATTTCTAATGAGAAATATTGATTCAGTTTTAGGCCATTTCAGATTTAGGCCAACCTTCTGGAACGGATTACGGCTGATAACTGGGGTTCCACTGTATACAGTGGACCCTCAGTTAAAGGCATTAATCCGTTCCAGAGAGCTTGCCTTTAACTGATTTGGATGTTATCCGAATTAATTTTCCCCATAAGCAATAATGTAAATCCAATTAATCCATTTCAGACAGTCAAAAGAATTAAAAAAAAATTTGTTTAAAGATTATACAAGGCACTAATAAAATGGATAAATGAACATTTAACATCACACTTACCTTTATTGACTCTTGTTGGTGTATGGAAGACACGTAGGAGGCAAGAGGAAGGCGAGTTTATGCTTCAATATGATGCTAATATCTCTACAGCTTATTCATCTATCACAATTCATCTAATATGACATAATAAACAATATTAATAACACAGAAACATGATAGATACTCTAGAATGAATAAAATATGTCATAATGTATGTGAGGAGTGAGGAGTAAGTGGTGGAAGTGTTGCTGTTAGGTTTATAAGAGCCAGGAGAAAAGCCATACATAGTGTGGTGGTGGTGGTGAGGCACCAGCAGAACCCACCACCACTGTTCACACTTAATGTACGTAATTTATAAATAAGAAATATTTACATTTTAATTTATAAATAATAAGTATTTACATTTTAATTTATAAATAATAAGTATTTACATTTTAATTTATAAATAAGTAAGTTTATTCAGGTATACACAAACAGTTATGTACACAGATTATCATACATAGCAGCATGTGTATAAAGTACCTAGGATAACCCAAAAAAGTCGGAGTGACTTATGTATTTCCATTGGGGTCCTTTTATATTTACACTTGTATTTACTTTTATATTTACACTTACCTTGGAGGAGATGTTAGTTTGTTTAGTTAGTTTGATGGAGATGCTGGCAGAGGTTTAAGGCGGTGGAAGATACGTAGCTAGTCGGCGTACATTCAGCAGCCCTATACACATCCAACAACATTGGAGAGTTACTTTCGTGTCGTTTTTCTATTGCTTACTAGCTTAACTTACTTGCTACACTGTTAATTCTACTCTATCGCTGGCTGGCACTATAGCCTTTATCAATACCTGTTGCTCTAGTATCATACATATCATAGAATCACTGAATCACTGCAGAAGGCACATTCTCCCCTCTCTTCCTCCTCCACTTTGGTACTTTGCTATTAATTTTTTCTTGAATTCTATTGCACTTCTTTTCTTCTTTACCACAGGGCTGGCACTAGAAGCTTTCTTTGGGCCCATGGTGGTGTATTTAACAGTTACAAGCACTAAAAACAATGGAATAATACACAATATATTGCATGTACATGTGGAATCGTCCTCACTGCCTTGTAAACAATGGCACACAGCACACTGTACATGGAGTGGATGGGCGGCTGCGGCTCAGGCTGCGTGGACACGTTTGGGACGAATGCCCTTAACCGAGATATTGGGCATTAGCCGAGTCAACATTTTGCCGCAAAAACGTGCCTCTAACCGATTTTGCCATTAGCCGATGCCGCCTTTTAACTAAGGGTCCACTGTATTTATTTCTGCCCTGTCGTGAGGAGAGACTGCAGAACATACATAGGTCACCCTAATTAGGATGGTCTACTGTCTCCCATGGACCAAGACTTCTACCACACATGTTTAGGAACTATGTTATACTGTAATAACAATAGAAGAATGGAAGATGAACCCTGAACCACCTCTGGTGAGGCAAAAACCAAAACACTGTAAACCCTACACTGACCATTATCAAAAAATTTCTTCAAATAAAATGACATTCCCAGCTGCTGATGTGCTGTTGAGATTAATCTTAACATGAAAGAACAGAAAACAGAAGAGGGTAGCTATGATATTGAGGTGTAAGGTTAGTGGAGGTTAATGTTAGCATGGGAGAATGTGATGTGCAATATCCATTTATTACAGGCAGGAGTGCAAGATGGCAAAATATACACAGGATAAGAGAACTTGCAGCACTGTCAAAGGCTCTATGCAAGTGTGAAGGCAAGTATATTCTACACGGGTTATTTGACTAAATGTACATTACATGGAAAATGCATATTTTCTTTGCAAGATGTAAGTAATGACATTTTGGTTGCACTCTCTCTCAATAAGAGAAAAATTGCACAAACTGACTGCATGTCAATTGAGGATTTACTTATGTTTTTTATCATTATTATTGCACACACAACAGTGCCAACAAACTTGAAGCATTACTTGGGAGTTATAGAGAAATGACAACACCAGATGACATGTGGACAATTTTTCTAGTTAATGAAATCTGAAAAATTTGCTAATGGCTTAAATGAGCACTGCTTGCCATTCTCTCTTTTTTTATATTTTCCAAATACAGTCAGTACAAATATGGTAGCATTTTAAATAGTGCTTCAGAGCCTACTTCCATTTGATACCATAAGACAGTGCTAACAGTATAATGCAGGACACTAATTCTACCAATACTCAGAGATTACATATTACATCACATTGTTATACAGTCAAATAACCAGGTAGCAAAACTATACTGAACCAAAAGTTATTCTACCTTGTTTATCAAGGGAGAATACATACCAGGTCCAGTGCTGGGAAGCTGTTGAAGCAGATCATTCCCACACCAAAATATATGCCAGCTGTACCTAAGATCATGTTCCGATAGAAATTCAGGGTGTCAGTGTTCTCCTTCAAAATTTGCTTCTGGCCTTTAGTGCCTTGCTTTCCCTTTTGGATCTGAAAAAGATTTATTTATAAATTTTGTGTTTTAATGCCATGTGGACACTGAAGACATACAGTATTATCTTCATAGTTATTTCCAAATAATTTTTTTTTATATAAACCAGATTAACATTCCTCACTTCTGATATTTTACATATACAGTAGCTCTTATGTACACATGCACCTAGTATGAACACATGTTCATATGTTCTTTATAGAATTCAGACCTGAAGAATAGTGTTCATTTTCAGCACATTTTTGGTGCTTTAAAAGCCAATCTTTATAGTGAAAGTATAGCATAGTTTAAAAAAGAAAGAAAGGTGGGATTTGAAGGAATACATAAATAACAGATGGATAGTCTTTAGTAACATGCAAGAAATACTGGGCCACAATGCAAACAACTGCCAAAGCCCTCAGGTGGGAAAGGTGACCACATGTAACTAAAGTGCTGAGAAATACAGTGGACCCCCGGATATCAGCCAGTGCAGATATCGGCCAAATCGCATTTTGGCTGCTTTTTTGGCCAAAATTCTATCCTGGATTTCAGCCGGCAACTCGGAAATCGGCTGTATTGGATGCGTCTGCCCACCACGCTGCATGTGCAACTCAGTCCGGCTGTGTCTCTTGGTGGGTGAGCAACACTGCCCATTCATCCAAACATTTCATTATAATCCATTGTTTTTTGTGATTGTTTATCGAGTGTGACTGCAAAATAAACCACCATGGGCTGCAAGACTTTCATCTGCAACAGCAACAGACCACAGCTGAGGAAAGTGGTTCAGAGGAGGAGGGAGAGGGAAGAAGGTGCCTTCTTTACCGATTAAGGACATTTGTGCAAAGTGGAGGGAGGTGCAAAGTTTTGTGGAGAAATATCACCCTGACCAAGCTGAAACAAGCTATATCTGCAACATGTTCAGTGACAAAACCTTGTCCCACTTCAGGCAAATCTTAAAGAGACGCCAGAAACAGACCTCTCTGGACAGTTTTTTTTGTGCAGCAGGGGTGCAGTGACTCAAGCTGGTCCTAGTACCAGTAAAAGACAAAAAAGGAAAGTAACCCTGGATAGGGACTTGATACCTGAAGTCCTTGTGGAGAGGGAATCCCCTTCCAAACAACAATCAGTCCTTCCTCTCCTCCTCCTCCTCCCTGTCTTCCATACGCCAACAAGATTCTTCAATAGAGGTAATTGTGATGTTAAATGTTCATTTATTCATTTCATTAGTCATTTTATTTAGTTCTCAAAAAATTTATTTTTTGTTAATATTTTTGGGTGTCTGGAACGGATTAATTGTATTTACATGGGAAATATCACTTTGGTTTTTGGCCTTTTCAGATTTAGGCTGGCCTTCTGGAACAGATTATGGCCGAAATTCGGGGTTCCACTGTACTGATGAATCCCTCTCAGTGTATGCACACACAGGCACCCCCCAACACACACATCCTTTATATACTGCAGTGTACATTTATATAAGCCCTGCCTATTCTACTTGATAGCTCCAGCTACACTCCAGATGTGTGCCATTTGATTGTGTAGTATTACTATTAATTGTTATCAATTTTCAAGTAATCTACATACTTTTAATCACCATAGCAGTACTCACCATTCCTGGGACATGGAGGGAATGACATTCTCATCACCAAGAAAAACAAAGGAGAGGTCATCATAAATTGTACAAAGTACACTAATAAAATACAAGAGGAAACAGATTCCTTGTTTAGCAAGACTCATAGCATAATCAGGAAATTAGAGGAAGGTAAAAATCTAATGGTAGCAAGACAGTACTGAATGCTAACAACTAGTATTTGAAGTGATCAAGGTTTCAGGACTGAAATGTCTTCAGCTAAGTTGTGCTAAGTGTTTTTTTCCCTAGATGTTCCTCTGAAACCCATATGTTGGACACTGGCAGCACCCGACATAAGTTGACAAGGGATTTGGCAAGAAATTTATCAACACTTCTGGGTACTTCTGAACTAAGTGTCTTTTACTATATCTTGCCAGTACATACCACCATACCATTGACAGGGCAAATCAGATTTGAGCCAAGGAAGTGGAGGGTAGCTCTAATTCCTTAGATCAGGAGACCTCCAGCATTAATTCACCTTCCATGAATGGCAGTAATCGTAAGGAGTAAAATCTGTTGTGCTTATAGACACACAAGCAAACAAATAGAACAGTTAGGACATTCACTATATAAGAACATAAGAAAGAAGGAACACTGCAGCAGGACTTCTGGCCCATGCAAGGCAGGTCCAATTCTCCCACCAGCTTAAGCCTATGCCTTAAGCTAGTCAGGTCAGTCACATTCGCTTAAGGGAGGAGCATGGCATCTGACCTAGTAGCACAAGCTAGTCAGGTCCAAATCACACCCACTCGTGTATTTATCCAACCTATTTTTAAAAATACACAACGTCTTAGAAGCTAAGACGGTACTCAGGAGTTTGTTCCACTCATCCACAGCTATTACCAAACCAGTGCTTTCCTATATCTTTCCTGAATCAGAATTTTTCCAACTTAAAACCATTGCTGCAAGTCCTGTCTATGCTAGATATTTTTAGCATGCTATTTACATCCCCTTTACTAATTCCAGTTTTCCATTTATACACCTCAATCATATTCCCCCCATTATTATTATTATAATCAAAAAGAAGCGCTAAGCCACAAGGACTATACAGCCATATTCCCCCCAATTCTATGCCATTCTAGCTAGTGCAGATTCAGGGCCCTCAGTCTATCCTCATAGGGAAGATTTCTGATACATGGGATCAACTTTGTCATCCTCCTTTGTACGTTTTCCATTCTGTAATACGGTGACCAAAACTGTGCAGCATAATCTAAATGAGGCCTAACCAAAGATATATAGAGTTGAAGAACAACCTGAGGACTTCTGTTATTTATACTTCTTGATATGAAGCCAAGGATTCTGTTAGCCAGGACTGAAATGTTGCCATGACAGAGTGGCCTAAGCGCTGCTTCACACTAACTAGGGCCAATACTAACTAGGTCCTAGTCTGAACCACCTGGAGTCTACCTTGAAAGTGTTCTGGGGGTCACTGCTCCCACAGCCCAGTCCATGACAAGGCCACCCAGTGGATCAGAGCATAATCAACCAGGCTGTTACTACTGGCTGTACATAGCCCAACATACAAACTACAGCCCAGCTGGTCGGGTACTGACTTTAGGTATCTGTCCAGCTCCTTCTTGAAGACTGCCAAGGGTCTATTGGTAATTCCCCTAATACCTGGAGGGACTTTGTTGAACAGTCTTGGGTCCTGAACACTTATCGAGTTTTTTCTTAGTGCACTAATGGCACCCCTACTTTTCATTGAGGGTATGTTGCACCACCTGCTTACTCTTTTGTTTTCATAGGAAGTGATTTCTGTGTGCAAATTTAGGACTAGTCCCTCTAGGATTTTCCAGGTGCAGATCATGATGTATCTTTCTCGTCTGCGCTCCAGTGAGTAAAGGTCAAGCGACTTGTGTTTTACATAAATAATGCACAAGTTATCTAAATCTCAGCAAGAATTGTTTTCTTGAGAAAAATTTTATTTTGAGAGATATTTTTAATATTTACTTTCACATGAGTAGCACATCAGTCAATTAACTCTTAGTACCGAGTCATAACATTCCTTACCAATCAAAGCAATGTAAATGAAGATGCATAAAAACTTAAACAATGACTTGACAGTCCCATATCTACTGCTCACAGATTAAGGTAAAGTTATTTTAGGTTGAGTTTCCTTACGTTACATTATGTTTCTTACCACTTCCACAAAGTCAAATCACCTAACTCAAGTAACCCACATAATATTGGACATTTTAAGGAAGAAATTACTGATTAACTCACGCCGGGACCTGAACGTAATATTAACCACAACTTGTCAGTTTCAAATGCAACAATGGCCCATGGCCTGGCAGGCGACACTCTTGCTTCACACGCTGAGTGTCCATGGTTCAATCTCCGGCAAGGGAAAAAACATTAGGTGTGCTCCCTACACCTGTTGTCCCATTCACCTAGTAAGCAAGTAGGTACCTGGGCGTTAGTCAACTGATGTGGGTCGCGTTCTAGAGGTGACAAGATTGAAAACCTCAAATGGAAATAAGACAGACAGTCCTCGATAACGCATAACTTTCTTGGGTTATCCTGGATGGCTAACCCTCCGCGGTTAAAAATCCGAACAAAACCTTATCTTTTATGTCAAGTTTTCCCCAGTGAAAGTTTTACATAATAAGTATGGAACCCTCATTTTGACATTTTTGGGGTTATTCTAGATAATTTACACACCTGTAAGACAGTTATGTAACCGCAAGTAAATAAAAGTACTAACAACGTAAGCACGAGCAGCTTTGCTCTAGACAAGAGACAATGTATTCATGAAAGAACAATATTTATTGATTAAATCACAATATGATGAGAGAGAATGATTTTCTAGAACGAACTTAATAACTTGAAGTCAAAATAAACTTGAGAAGGGTAGAAAATATATAAGAAAGTCTTACCACCATGCTGGAGTGAAGAGTAACACACAGGTCTGGACCTCTGTTAATTCCAGCTTACAATACTGCAAGTTTTACTATCAAATATTGTAATATACTTTACTACGATAAGATTTTAAAGTCATAATTAAATGGAAAGTCAAAGTAAAATAGATTTTACTTGGTATTTTATAAAATTTGCAAGGTTTTAATTCAAAATATGTTTTAATATGACTCGAGTATAAAGAAAGTGACAACATATGAGATGTCAATACTAGATAAAAAGATTTATTTTATTACTGAACTACTTTACATAAAAGATTTATTCTAATAATCAACTACTGTACGCATTTATTATTTCTAGCTCCGAAATGCTCTGCATAACCAACAGGGCCGGATTTATAAGAGGCAAAGGGGGCAACTGACTAGGGCCCCCCTGCCAGAGGGGCCCCCAGACAGAGGACTTCCTTTGTAACAAATTGTAGTAATAAAAAATTGGTTTAATTAATAAAATGAATTAACAAAGTGTGTGAGGGGGATCAGAAAACAGAAAGAAAGGGTGCCCCCACCCCCCTTTCCCTTTGAATGACTTAACTATTTCTAGTTAGCATCAGTTTAGAGGTAAATAACCAGACCATGAGGTCAGAGGTGACATGTGTGCAGGGTAGCTATTGTGTGTATGGCTTTGATTGGCTGTGTCGACCTCAGAAGGGCTATTTCTGGTTAGTGTCAGTGTAGAGGTCAATGACCAGAGTTAATTGGTGGTATGGAAAATTTTCTAGGGTGATTACCTTTATGTACCTCAAGATTACATGCATACAAGTAAACTCTCTCTCTCTCTCTCTCTCTCATTGGGAGACAACCATATTGTTTATCGTAGTCACCCCGTGTAGATATGTGAGAAAACTTAACCACCCCTGGTCACGGCAGGTGGTTCCTTCGACCTCACAATCTTATCCATATCTATCCGAGACCAGTATGGATTGGATAGCACCACAAGTACGGTGCTACTAATTAATTGTGGACTGTATAGATTATATTAGCGTAACTGAATGAAGGGGGGGGGGTAGGTTACACATGGATATATCCATCAAGGAAAAACACTTGTACATAATCTCACCACTTACCAGATATTCTCTGGTGGTCACTTGATGTAGCTGGATCACTCATAACCTATCCAATTACAACATACCTAACTGGCCAGTATCAGTCTGCTATAACTAGAAGGGTTACTTAACTGTGGATGATTGATACTCCTTATTTCCTCCATTCACCATCTCATTTCGATATCTTGCTACACCGACACGGTTCTTATTCCAGCAGGACGAGGTATCCGTCGGTTTGTCCCGGTTTAGAAGTCGTGACTCCATAAAGCCTTCACTATCCTCGGGACAGGAACAACAAGGTAAACATGTGCACACACACTCTGAGAATGGCAGTTCATATCACTTCAACGATTCCTTAACTTAGTGTTATTATCACTGATTACATTACAATTTACAAGACGTTTTAATGTCTCATAATTATTATACACATTGGAGGCCACTCCATTAAGATTTGAGACCGATGAGTGATGATTAAATCACGGGTATTTTTCCCCGGGACACAGTCCATGGCGACGCGCCAGTCACCACCGGTCCTACCATTATTCACTAATTTTACCACTTAATTACAGCGGTGCCGTCAATCACGTTCCCTCACTCTTCACCAGGGACAGTCACGACACTTCCTATTATGAAGTGAGGCCTATATTAATCCTTAGGCTGCCGTGAATGCCAATTTCCTGGTTCCATGCTTTCCCAGCCTCCTCACTACATTCAAAACACTGCCACCTCTCCCATGCCCATGGTCGACCTCTACCCCCGCACATCCGCACATGCGCAAAGGGAACTCTTGGTTCTATCCTATTTTCAAATACATTTTTGACCCATATCGACACATTAAACACCTATTAGGCACTATAGCTTCGGAAAATTAAAATATTTTCCACGGGCGGCCTGAGGCTATGTGTGTGTGTGTGTGTGTGTGTGTGTGTGTGTGTGTGTGTGTGTGTGTGTGTGTGTGTGTGTGTGGTGTGTGTGTGTGTGTGTGTGTGTGTGTGTGTGTATGTATTCGTCAACTGCTTTTAGTGCTAGGCAATGGTGTAGGGCAGTGCTGTCAGTGTTTTAGATCTGTGTGTTACTCACAAAGGTTTGTGATATATCATCTTCTGCAATTACATCTTACACATCCACTCCCCCCCCCCCCACACACACACACACATCCACAGTTCCCCACAAGAGATTAGTGCAGAAGCTGGAGGATCAGGCACACGTAAAAGGAAGGGCACTGCAATGGATAAGGGAATACCTGACAGGGAGGCAGCAACGAGTCATGGTACGTGAAGAGGTATCACAGTGGGCGCCTGTTACGAGCGGGGTCCCACAGGGGTCAGTTCTAGGACCAGTGCTATTTTTGATATATGTGAACGACATGATGGAAGGAATAGACTCTGAAGTGTCCCTGTTCGCAGATGACGTGAAGTTGATGAGAAGAATTAAATCGGACGAGGATGAGGCAGGACTGCAAAGAGACCTGGAGAGGCTGGACATGTGGTCCAGTAACTGGCTTCTCGAATTCAATCCAGCCAAATGCAAAGTCATGAAGATTGGGGAGGGGCAAAGAAGACCGCAGACAGAGTATAGGCTAGGTGGACAAAGACTACAGACCTCACTCAGGGAGAAAGACCTTGGGGTGACCATAACACCGAGCACATCACCAGAGGCACACATCAACCAAATAACTGCTGCAGCATACGGGCGCCTGGCAAACCTGAGAATAGTGTTCCGATACCTTAATAAGGAATCGTTCAAGACACTGTACACTGTGTATGTTAGGCCCATACTGGAGTATGCAGCACCAGTCTGGAACCCACACCTGGTCAAGCACGTCAAGAAGTTAGAGAAAGTACAAAGGTTTGCAACAAGGCTAGTCCCAGAGCTCAAGGGAATGTCGTACGAGGAAAGGTTAAGGGAAATCGGACTGACGACACTGGAGGACAGAAGGGTCAGGGGAGACATGATAACGACATACAAGATACTGTGGGGAATAGACAAGGTGGACAGAGATAGGATGTTCCAGAGAGGGGACACAGGGACAAGGGGTCACAACTGGAAGCTGAAGACTCAGACGAGTCACAGGGACGTTAGGAAGTATTTCTTCAGTCATAGAGTTGTCAGCAAGTGGAATAGCCTAGCAAGTGAAGTAGTGGAGGCAGGAACCATACATAGTTTTAAGAAGAGGTATGACAAAGCTCAGGAAGCAGAGAGAGAGAGGATCCAGTAGCGATCAGTGAAGAGGCGGGGCCAGGAGCTGAGTCTCGACCCCTGCAACCACAATTAGGTGAGTACACACACACATCCACACACATACAGATCCACACACACACATCCACACACACACATCCACACACACACATCCACACACACACATTCACACACACAAGGACCAGGTAATCAGACTGAGGAAGGGTGATGGGGAATTCACAAGAAACGACCAGGTAATCAGACTGAGGAAGGGTGATGGGGAATTCACAAGAAACGACCAAGAGGTATGTCAGGAGCTCAACACAAGATTTAAAGAGGTATTTACAGTGGAAACCAGTAGGACTCCAGGAAATCAGAACAGGGGGGCGCACCAGCAAGTGCTGGATGAGGTACATATAACCAAGGAGGAGGTGAAGAAGCTGCTATGCGAACTTGACACCTCAAAGGCGGTGGGACCAGACAACATCTCTCCATGGGTCCTTAAAGAGGGAGCAGAGATATTGTGTGAGCCATTAACAAAGATCTTCAACACATCATTTGAAACTGGGCAACTCCCTGAGGTATGGAAAATGACAAATGTAGTCCCAATTTTTAAAAGGGAGACAGACTTTGAGGCACTAAACTACAGACCTGTATCACTAACGTGTATAGTATGCAAGGTCATGGAGAAGATCATCAGGAGGAGAGGGGGTGGGCACCTGGAAAGAAACAAGTGTAAATTGACAACCACACGGTTTCAGGGAAGGAAAATCCTGTTCAAAAACCCTACTAAGTTTTATGACAAGGTGACAGAAGACAAGAGAGAGAGGGGGGGATCGACTGCATATTTTTGGACTGCAAGAAGGCCTTCGCCCACAGTTCCTCACAAGAGGTTACTGCAAAAGCTAGAGGTTTCAGGCATACATAACAAAAAGGCACTGCAATGGTTCAGAGAATACCTGGAAGGGAGGCCAAAAACGAGTCATGGTACACGACGAGGTGTCAGAGTGGGGCTCCTGTGACAAGCGGGGTTCCACAGGGGTCAGTCCTGGGACCTGTGCTGTTCTTGGTATATGTGAACGACTTTAAAGGAAGGGATAGACTCGAAGTGTCCTTGTTTGCAGATGATGCGAAGTTAATGAGAAGAATAAAATCGGATGAGGATCAGCAGGACTACAAAAAGACCTAGACAGGCTAAAGCCGGTCCAGCAACTGGCTCCTTGAATTTAAAACCCCGCCAAATGCAAAGTCATGAAGATTGGGGAAGGGCAAAGAAGACCGCAGACACATATAGTTTTTTAAGATGGCCAAAGACTGCAAACCTCACCAAAGAAAAAGATCTGGGGGGAGCATAACACCCAGCATATCTCCTGAGGCACACAAACAATCAGATAACTGCTGCAGCATACGGCGCCTGGCAAACCTACGGATAGCGTTCCGATACCTCAGTAAGGGGTTCGTTTAAGACTCTGTATACCATTTACGTCAGGCCCTACTGGGGTATGCAGCACCAGTTTGGAATCCACACCTAGTCCCAAACACGTCAAGAAATTTGAGAAAGTGCAAAGGGTTTTCAACAAGACTAGTCCCAGACCTACGGGATTGTCCTATGAAGAAATTTGAGGGAAATCGGCCTGACGACACTGGAGGACAGGAGGGTCAGGGTAGACATGATAACGACATATAAAAAACTGCACAGAATAACAAGGTGGACAAAGACGGATGTTCCAGAGATGGGACACAGACACAAGAGGTCACAAATTTGGGAAATTGAAGACTCAGATGAATCAAAGGGGGGTTAGGAAGTATTTCTTCAGTATAGAGTAGTCAGGCCGTGGAATAGCTAGAAAGTGACGTAGTGGAGGCGGGAACCATACATAGTTTTAAGGCGAGGTAAAATAGAGCTCATGGGGCAGGGGGAGAGGGACCTAGTAGCAATCAGCGAAGAGGCAGGGCCAGGAGCTGTGACTCGACCCCTGCAACCAAATAGGGGAGTACAACACCCACACACACACACATCCCACACCACTGGGAAAATTTCATTTACTGTAGTTAATTATTTGTAAATAACAAAAT